AGACTCTGGGGAATCCTTCAGTTTCTTTGGCTGTCCCAATCCCCACTTGTTTTTACAGACAGAAGTTATAGGGACTTATCTTTCTAGTGCTGGAACTCTGGGCTGGGTAGTCTGGTGTGGTACTAGGAATCCCACACTCCCAAATCATCCCTCCTGATTTTTACCCACCACATGTGGATGTGGGGACCCCTGTTCCACTTCTCCACGCCTCTCTGCACTTCTCCACATGTCTCACATCTCCATGCCTCCTATCTGTCTAATGAATGTGGCTTCCTTAATTCCTTGGTTGTTGGACTTCCATACAGCTTGATTTTCTGATGATTCTAGGTGATATTTGTTTTGTAGTCTAGTTGTAATTTTTGCTGTGGTTGTGCAGGGGGGCGAGCCATGTTTACCTATTTCACCATCTTGACCAGAATTCAGATTATATCAGGTTTAAGGAAATGAGCTGTGAATATATTTAGAACAGTGCTGTCCAACAGAAATATAATGGAGCCATACATATAACTTTAATTTTTTAGTGGCCATCTTAAAAAAGTAAGAAGAAACAGGTTAAATTTCATTTTATAATATATTTTATTTAACCCAATAGATCCAAAATATTTGCAACAAAATAATGTAATCAGTGTAAAAATAGCTAATGAGATATTCCAGATTTTTTCATATTGTTTTCAAAATCCAGTGTACTTTACACTTATAACAGATCTCAACACAGACTAGCCACATGTCAAGTGCCTAATAACCATATGTGGCTTGTGGTGACTGTATTGATCAGCACAAGTCTAGAATTGCTAATGACAGACACCCAATGGCAAATACAAGGTATTGTCTTATCTAAAGGCAGAAAGTTCTCTAGAATGATTGAGGGCCTATGTGGGTAAAGGCCAAGAAAACCTTACCTTTTGGAGGCCTTCTCAGCCTTCCTCATTGCTAGAAATACGAAGGCACATTGCCCTCCAGCAATTTTTGGAACCTACTCAGCAGTGCTCTGTGTTCTCCTTCAGGTCTGTCAAATCCAGTGTTTGGGGGTTGTTAATCCAGGTGGGAGGAGCACTGTGCCCAGGAGATCAAGGAAATGGTTCCATCCTGGGGGACACAGGTAGCTCTATTCTCTTCTTACCCCGCCTGTCTGTCTTGCTGGTGTGAATAACTGCTCACAGGAGGAGCCAGCTCCGACAGAGGGGACAGAGAGGATGAAATCTGGCTTGGGGTGCAGAGTGTGACATAAGCCTATCCTCTCTTACCTGCACAGTTCCAAGTTCTCTGTCTGCAATACCCCTTCTCCACGTATGTGCGTGACTCTCTCCTTCACCTTGTTCTTATCCCTGCACAGTGTCATCTGCTCTAAAAGAGCCATCCCCAGGCCCCATCCCATCACTCTCCTCTCACCCAGCTTTATTTTTCTTCAGCTCTTACCACTACCTGACATTATGAATTTAGTTGTTCACTATCTCATGTGAGTTGCTCACATTCTCATGGCTTCCTCATGAGAATGTGAGCTCCATGAGGGTAGGGACTTCATCTGGTTTACCACTACATGCCAAGGGTCTAGCACAGTGTCTAACACATAGTAGGTGCTCAATAAATATTTTTGACTGAATTCCTTCTGAAAAGAAAACTTGTTATAATTCAGAGGAGAACCAACGTAGTGAGGGAGTCATATAGCACATTTCCATTTTTTTCTCATAAAATTTCTGAATTTGGGTCTATTCACTTCTATGTAAACCACAAGATGAAATAAATAGGAGAAATTATAGATAGTTCCCAAGCATCTTGGAAAGGAAAACCTCTGCTTCTTTACAATCTAGAATGGTCTAATCTTCCTTCATAGTGTTCTTGGAAGTTTTCTCCCTCTATGTCTCATCATTAAAGTTCAATGGTTAAAAAATAATGAGAGGAGGGATCCGAGATGAATTATTGGTAAAGATACAGACAACTCAGCTGAGGTTACAGATTTGCTGTAGTACATTCCCTGGTAATCTCCACCATCCTACCAAAAAAAAATTCTTTAGCTCCTGACAAAAAAGAGCTCAGAATATTGTATTGCAAGAACATTCCTGTTCACCCTGTCACTCTGGGTAAAGAACAAACTTACAAAGGAAGAAACCAAGGGACACAAAAAGTCAAAAGAGAATCTCCCTACCTGAGTCCCACCCCAAGATGGTGAGATAGTGAATGAGGTAGTCCTAGTTTGCAGAACATGCAAAATTTAGAGTAACTCAGCTACATTCCAGAAAATGGCATTTCCTGAGCAAAAGTGTTTCTTAGGACCAGGCAACAAAGGCCTTATCAAGCCCACTGCAGAAGAGAAACTGATGTCCCCAACCTCACCCCATCCAAAGGCACATTTAGTCTTCCCTGGAATGCAGGCTACAGACCGAAGTGCACCTGAGCACAGAGACGTCTCGTCCATGTCACCAGGTGGGCCCAAGGCAACTCTGCTAAGTGCCTGGAGTCATCTCACTCTTGTTCAGGGAGTATTACTCCTCCAAAAATTGAATTAATAAAGGACTCATGGAGATGTTGAAGAATGTTCAAACCTAAGAAATAAATTGCTGAGAACAAAGTTGGAGAAGATACCTTCCAGTGTTGGGGTCTGCGCAGCATCACAGTATGCAGGTCACTCACTGATCTGTCAATGCACACCGTTAATCCCATGGAAACCACCACCAGAAACCAGCTCGACATGTCAGTGGATCCTCTTCCACCTCTGTTCCAGGCAAATGCATGGTGTTGATGGATATCAAAGGCATGAGAGGGAGCCAAAATATTCCACTAAAACCGGGTCCAACTGAAGCCAGGGTCTGGTGGGCCGGAGCTTGATAAATGGAATCATACCGTACTTTGGTCTTCATTCCATGCTTATCATTTCTGTCAGTATTCTTTTGGCATAATGGAAACTGAGCAAGACCTGGGAGACGGAACACAAAGGTTTGCTGCCTAGCTCTGCCCTATAATAACTGAGTCTTGGGCAAGTTTTCTAAATCTTAATGTATTAGTTTCCTGGGGCTGCTGTGACAAAATACCAGAAACTGGCTGGCTTATAGAAGAGAAATTTATCGTCTCCAATTGTAGAGGCTAGAAGTCCAACATCAAGGTGTTGGCCAGCTTGGTTCTTCCTAAGAGCTATGAGGAAGGATCTGTTTCATGTATGTCTCTTAGCTTCTGGTGGTTTGCTGGCAGTCCTTGGGATTCTTAGCCTTTGTGCTCACACGGTATTTTTCCTCTGTGTCTCTGTGTCCAAATTTCCTCCTTTTAATAAAGACATAGTCATATTGGATTAGTACTCACCTTACTGATCTCATTTTAATTTGATTATCTCTGTAAAAACCCTATCTCCAAGATCACCTTCTGAGATCACCTTCTGAGGTACTGGAGGTTAGAACTTTAACATTCAAACTGGGTGGGACACAAATCAAATCATAACACATAGCTAATTCCCTCATCTGTAAATGGGGATTGTGACACAACTCTCTCTCATACCATTGGAGTGGTCGTAAAAGTGCCTCAAAGAGGCTTGGTCCACAGAAGACCAGTGGGCATCTGGTTTGTCTGAATGTGCATGTGCCTTGGTGCTGTCCAGACCAGACTGTGTCCCTAAGGAGCACGGCTTTGGTGGGGTGCTCATCCTGTGAGCATCCAACACACGTGAGCAGGTGCTTGACCAAAGCATTTTGATGATGGTGAAGACAAAAGGCTGGAAGAGAAAAATCTGAAGACAGATGAGCCAGGGTTATAAAAAGTCTGATATAAATGCTGGCAAGGAAGCGAAGCCCCAGGATCCCCATTCACTACTGACTGGAGTGTACACTGGTATAAATACTTTGAAAGGCAATTTGGAATTAAGCATAAATGGGGAAGCAATTCCACCCCTAGGTATATATATACTCTAGAGAAATGCTTATACATGTCCCCAGGAGAGATGTGCAAAAAGTTCATAGCAGCACTGGTTGCAAGAAAAAGAATGAAAACCTGAATTTCCTAAATATGCTATATTCATATAGAGGGATACTGTACAGCAGTTAAAGTGAATGAACTAGAGCTATGCATACCTCATGGATGAATCTCACTAATAAAATATTGAGCAAAAAAGGACAAGTTGCAGAAGAATAAATACAATAGGTGATGCAACACTAAATGCTCTGTCACTCAGGACACACACACATGTATGTGCATAAAGAGAATAAAGACAGGTGTGGGAACGACAGTCACCGAATTCAGGAAGGACATTGGGTGGGGAGAAGGGAGGGTGTAAGCAGAGATTCAGCTATATTTGTAACAGTTTATTTTTTTTAGGAGGCTCCCAAGTAAAGATTATTGGTTCTTCTTTATAACTTTCTGCATGTTTGAATTACAACAGCTTTTTTAAAGAGCCAGGACTGGAGGAGCCTTACATAAAACAGAGGAGAGACTGGGCCTGCTTTTGGGGAGGTTCAGAGCAGCTCTTGCCACCCCTGAAACTGAGGCCCCACAGTAAACAAAATAAAGACCCGTCTGACACAGGCCACACTGAAAGGCTAAGACCAGAAAGGTCTCCTATTGAGGGTGAGAAAAGGAAGGAAAGACATTTTGATGCTGCCCCCTCTGGTCCCGAACCTAGCTATTGGCCTGCACTCCAACCCCTGGGCTGCAAGAACCCCGGGGGGAGGGAGGGGTGGCGGCTGCCGAACAGATCACCACCCACACCCACGATTGCACAGGCCTGCATATCCCACTCACACCAAGCACTCCCATGCAGGCTGCCACCCCCACACAACATACACCGCCTTTCAAACAACCTGCCATGGGCATCCTGACAGTCCACAGCACTTTCACAACCCCTTGCACATGCACACACACACACACACACACACCCTTCCACCACCTACCCTGGCCAGGCCCCCAGAACTGGAAACACTGCAGAGCCTGCCAGCTGCCCCACCGCCCTTTCTCCAGTGCTGGGTTTTTCCAGCGGAGCCTCACTCCCTCTACTGAGCTCTCTGGGAATTGGTGCCTGACGCGGCTGCTCCTGAACATTATTTATTTATTTATTTCCTCTTCCTCCCTCTGAGACCCTCCCGTCAAGAGAGCTGCGGCCCGGGACAGAGACAGACAGGAACCACAGGGACACAGAAGGCAGAGAGAGCGGAGAGGAGGACCCCTCAGAAGCCCCCACTCGGCTCATCAAGCTCAACAAGCCTGGCAGGGGCCATGAGCACCAGGCAGGAGGCCAGGAGAGAGGGGGGAGACTCCAGCAGGAGGGGACAAGAGGCAGAGCTTCGGGATCGAGCCCACCTGAGCCAGCAGCGCAGGCTCAAACAGGCCACCCAGTTCCTGCACAAGGACTCTGCTGACCTGCTGCCCCTGGACAGCCTCAAGAGGCTGGGCACCTCCAAGGACTTGGTGAGGCAGCCCTCTCCCCATCCCACCCCACCCCGGAGAACTCCTCTGGCCCTTTTTCTCCATCTCCCCACCCCCTACCCTGAGGGTGGGAGTAAGGACATTTAAGTGCAGACCCTGAGCCTTCAGATTCTCCCCCCTCACTGTGAGTGGGAGACAGGCAGTCCCCCCAACCCAAGGGGCTTCCTTTGGCCATTTTGAGCTCTTCACTGGGATATTCCCTGAACTTGGTGGCTAAGAGACCCCATTCTCATTGCTCAGCTTCCCCTCTAAAATCGAAGGTTTATGTTGGAGTGAGCTCTGCTGTTTAGGAGTAGAGGTTTTCAGGGACACAGGAGCCTCTGGAGCGGTCCTTTACAGCTGAGAGAGCCGAAGGATTGGCCAGTTTAGGGCTGTGATTGCCTTCCTCTCCCTAAACTGTACTCCCTCATACCCAGGCTGCCCATTCATTTGCCTTTTCCCCTCGAAATGAATCACTGAAGTTCTCCATCCTTGCCAAGTCATCAGGATTCCCTACAGCTCCTGCTGGGCCACCTGGCCTCCTTCAGTGTCCCTTTCCTTCCTCCAAGCCTCCCTCTAGGCCCTTTTCCTTCCATTCCCTGCAGCAGCTTTGACCTCCAGAGGGGTGGGGTGGGGCAGTGACAGTGAAGGGGTGAGTGGGTCAGGGGACAACTGCATGTATGCATTTCCCTGGACTTTGAAGCCATGTTGCTTGGATTCAGATCCTGCTCTGACATTGAGGCAAGTTACTTTATATCTCTGTGCCTCCGTTTCTTTATCTATTAAATGAGGATAAAGGTAATAAATAGTATCTACCTCATAGGGTTGTTGCAAGAGTTGCATGAGCTAATACCCATAAAGAACGTAGAACAGTGCCTGACTGAGAGAAAGTACTATCCAAATACTGTTATTATTCATTCAGCTACTATTTTATTTAGCCTAAGAGAGAAAGGAACCTCTGTGGGTCCAGAGAACATGAAATCATATCTAGCCTCTTGCTCATAGAAGAAAGATTTTTATACCAAGGTTTGAGAGCACTCTGTTCACTCTCCCATCTCCTCATCAGAGGGGCTGAGAGGAGGGTGGGAACTCCTGCAACCTGGTGGGTACAAAGGCATTTCTGGGGGCCTCGGGCCACTCTGGCAGCCCCTGCCACCTGGGAACCTAGAGGCAATCATAGGCCCTCACTACCCTTCGTGCCCTAGCCCTACATTTCACCTTCCTCCTAGTCAAATGTGCCCCCTCCTGGAACCCTGCCCAGAGGCCAGGGAATCTCCTAGCCCTATCCCAGCAGCACCCCAAAAGGAAAAGTGATCAGACTGAGATTTCAGTTCAGAGAAACTCCAGGGGCTGTTCCTCCTTGCAAGCATAGAAAGCATAGCTGAGAAACGAGGGAACAGGGAAGCAGGTTCTTTGGCTCCCAGTGGCTAGAATCTTATAGCCTTTACTCTTTGGGGACCATCTGATATGATTTCTGGAGAAGGGCCATGCCCATGGGAAAGGTGAGAGGAGAGCTGGGAACTGCAGAGCCGCTCTTTCTGGCCAGTCCCAGAGCTCGCTGCCCTTTTCCCAGAGTTGGGTCTCGTGCTGGTGGGAGCAGCCTCAAGGGCCTCATTAGGTCATGGGTGGAAAAACAATCTCAGGCTCCCACAGAGAGAGAGCAGGTGGAGAAGCATGTGTGGAGGCTGGCAGGATACATTATTCTTCAGCAAGGATTTATTGAGTAACTACTATACACAGAACTAAGCCTTGGGATATAAAAATACATAAGATACAGACATGATCTCAAGGGCTCTCTAAGTTAATGGGGGAGTGAAATCCACAAATGACATCTGTGAGAAGCATGACAAAGGGAGCTATCCCAGCCCACACACCCCAGTGTGTGGAGGGAAGAACACAAAGAAGCCAGAGAGGGCTTCCTGGAGGAGGTAAACCTGAACTAATTACCAGATGTACATGGAACCCAAGAACTCTCTCCAGAACTGTTAGTTCTTGAACAAAGTGTGTTGAGCTAGCCATCCAGTCTCAGGCATAGGGGAGAGGAGAAGCAAAGAAGGAAAAACAGCCTGATGCAAGCAGTACAAGCAGGGTGGCTGCGGCGGCGGGTGAGCCAAGCAGTGTGAGATGGGAAAGGGGAGAAGAGGCAGATTTGGGCAGTGACCAGGTCATCTGGGCTGTGGATTGCCTTAAAAAGTTTGAGCTCTACCATGTAAGCAATGGGGATAGGGGTGCTTTCATGGATTTTAAACAGGGGAGTAACATGGTTAGCTTTGTTTTATTTGGGTGCTTCTTACACTCTAATGTGCACAGGAATCATCTGGGGCTCTTGTTAAAATGAAGCTCCTGATTCAGTAGCTTTTCTGCATTTCTAACAAGCTTCCAAAGGATGTGAAAGCTGCTGGTGTGAGGACCACACTTTGAAAACAAGGGTTTTAGATAACCATTGACTTGGAGCTGATGTACCTGAGAGGCGACAGTACTGGAGGCAGGTTCTTATGAACATAAGGAGGCATCTCAGTGATCCAGGAGAGCTGTGGTGAGTCTGAAATAAAGGCAGTAATAGAAAGTAGGGATGGACTACAAACACAGGAGGCAAAACTGGTAGAATTTAGGAAGTGATTGGCAGGGTATGGGGGTTACGAGTGAAGGAGAGTCAAAGGATGACTTCCAGCATTCTAGTTTTAAGGATTTTAACTTTATCCATTTTTGTTGTTGCTTTCACTTCTTCTCATTGCACCATTAACCCTAGGACCTGCAAAGGGGGAAACATGTCCAAAAAAAATAAACAGCTTGTTGTAGATCTGAAAGAGAATTTCTCCCAAGCATAATACTAGCTCCTGAAATGTCCCATGAGCTGATATTAATCAGTGTTAACTAGATGGACTGTTCTCTTTCCATTTCTTCATCACTGAGCAATCCACTGGGGGCTTGGAAAAAATGACATTGTCTAATACTGGGGTTCACTCTGCTGTGATGCTCTGACTGCTGGCAGCCTTGGGTGAGCTCCTGCCCCTTTTTCACTCCTTTGAGACTCAGGATGGGGCGGGGTTGGGGACAGCACCCTGGGATATCTGAGGTGGGGGAACTGAGCAGCCTGGATACTTGGCTTTAGACCTATCTACCTTCATTGTTCTGTGATGGAGCCAGCAGCCACACAGTGTGATCCAAAGACGCCTGGTAGAGAGAAACCAGAGCTGGAGCCAGGGGGAGTCTCCCCTGGGGCAGGCCCTGATTCATGGCCAGGAGAACAGGAGGAAGACTAGCACACCAGAGATTCCAGCTCTTCTGGTCAATTGCAAGGTGAGAACCTCCCAGAGCACTGGCTTTCATTAACTATCCTGCCCTGGCTCACTCCACCCACTTTGTGTCCTGGGTGGTAGGGGAAGGAGGGAGAAAAGGAACCTCTCCCCTAAGCCCGGACCAAAAAAATGGGATCCCCTATCTCCTTTATTCTCTGCCTCCAACCATCTTCCCTCTGCAATTTCACATCACCACCATGACTCCCCCTTTCCTTTATCAAAGTATAGTCTCTGCATGTGATGTGTGAGTGCCCTGTAGAGTGCTCTGCGTAACAAATGGTGTGTGCACGGATGGGAAATGCAACCATCCCGCAAAAGCTCATGTGATGGCCTCGTCATCTCTGGAACTGTTTGACCACCCAACCAGTATCAAACTTTGCTAATAAATTAATAAATGCCCACTGCTTGTACACCACGGTCTTTGCTCAGCATCTCCTCTGCCTGCTTTGCAATCATTTTATATCCACATTCTACAATCTTTTAAGCTTAAACGTTACCTCCTTCCTGGAACCTTTTGATTTCCCCAGTAGGAAATAGCCTTTCCTCCTTCTCAATGTCTTGGGCACTTTATCGATGACCCTTTCTTCATACAGTAGTTCTGTTTCACTTCCCCTAGACTCCAAAAGAATAGTATTATTCATTGCTGTGCCTTCCAGCAACATCTGTGCATAGTATATACTCACTAAATGATTGGAATGAGAAAACTGCATGTTTATGACATCCAAGGATAACCCAAAATGTCTGTATAAATCCAAAAGAAAACGAACGTGTCTTCCTTTGCTTCCCGTGGTCAACGCCTCTCTTTCCCACATCTGAATTTCCTAACAAGGTGTCCCAGTCTCCACACCGCTCCTGTACTCCCAACTAGATTCACCAGCTGCATGGCCCTCAGCCTCCCAAGAGTTCCTTTAAACAAACAGATCTCCATTCCTGATCAAATTGTTTCCTAACAGATGCACTCACCACAAAGTGCAGCTCACTTACTTTTTTTTGGTTCCTTTATTTGAGCCAATTTTGCCTCAATTGTATGAGTCCCACAAAAGCCTCTTTAAGACTCAGTTCATTCCTTTTACTTACTGGTTTCTGAAAGGGAACCACCCAAGGCTAGGAAGGTGAAGGGCCCAGTCTATTCTCCTGGGACTCACTAAATCCCCCACAACTCTCTTTCTCAGTGCCAGGACCAGGTGCTTAGGGTGGCCGTGGACACAGGTACCCACTACAACCAGATCTCCACTGGATGCCTCACCCGCCTGGGGTAAGAGTATGGCCCAACAAAGTGGATGGGAGATGGGCTTTTTTTGGGAGTGATGATATTCTGAAACTAGGTAGTAGTGAGTATACCCTGAACATACTAAAAACCACTTGATTGTACACTTTAAAAGGGTAACTCTTATGGTGTGTGAACTATATCTAATAAAGATGTTATTTACCAAAGAGTTCATGGGGGTTCTGGCAGAGAAAACAAGGATTTAGACCCTGTGTGGGGTCAGGGATTGGATGAGAACCCAAAGTGTGGTGGGGAGGGAGGGACATTAGCTGACAAAAGGGATGGGGGTGGGGGTGGGGTTGTAGTGGCCATAACCTTGCTTACCAACCACAGGTTAGGGAAGAGGGTCCTAAAAGCCTCAGGGGGGGACCTGGCCCCTGTAACCCCAACCCAAGTGGAGCAGCTGGAGCTGCAGCTAGGCCAGCAGACTGTGGCGTGCTCGGCCCAGGTAGTGGGTAAGTCTTCCCTTCATCGACAGCCCCACTTCCCATCTCTCCTGTCTTTCTCTCCCGGGTGAGACAAAGGCAGACTTCAGCCCTGCCAGCACCAGACAAGTTGTCCCCAAAGATGCTCTGACTATCCCCAATACCTGTGCCAAGATTCTCAGACCTGGGGATGGGGGTAGGCAAAGAAGGGTCATGTGCTGACAGAAGGGCAGCAGTGACCCCCAGGTACCCTCCAGAACCTTGTTTTCAAATGGTTCCTACAGATGCTGAGAGTCCTGAATTCTGTCTTGGACTGCAGACTTTGCTTTCTCTCAAGGTAAGGATGCTAGCACTTTGGGGCCTGACCAAAGGCTGGGAAAGAGAGGAGACACAGGTGTGGGTCAGGTTTTGATAAGAAAGATGCAACTGCACCTTTGCTTCCTTAGAGGCTCCTGATCTGCCTGCCCACAGGCGAAAAATGTGGAGAACTGGGTCCCTCACTGACAGGGGCCCAGGTGAACGGACACAGGGGAGCAAGGAGCAGGGGGGGAGCTGTGGGAAGTGGGAGGGGAAACAAAAAGAGGGCGCTGGGAGGGAGGTTACCTGCTTCAAGGAGCTCACATTTCCCCTCCACACCCCACAGTGCTGTATCGACCTGGAGCGCGGAGTGCTGAGGCTGAAAGCCCCCTTCCCAGAGCTGCCCTTCCTGCCTTTGTACCAAGAGCCTGGCCAGTGACTGCTGTCCCAGTCAGTCCTCAGGAGGAAGCACTGTGACTTAAGGGAACAGCCATGTGGGGAATGGGGACATTACTACAGCTAGGTAGCTGGGGACTACTTTGTCTGTGCCTTTGTCACTGCCCTGACCCTGATATTCCATTACCCTCGGTCAGCCACGTTCTTCCCTGCTTCTCAGCAACTTCCCTATCCCCCAGTTTTTCCAGAGATGGTCCAGAAGCTCAGGGCTCTGCTTTCCCTGTTTTCTCTCATTGCCTTCCCAAGAAGAGTAGAGCCAAATCAGGACTGCAGAAAATGACATAAGCAAAATGGGGTTCCAGGCTGGGCCCCTGGAATGGTAGAAACCGGCTGAGTCAAGGGCTGCAGGCTACCGTTGTCCTCCACCTGTGCTCCAGCTCCTGCCAAAGCCTCTCCATTGCCTTCACTCCCACGCCTCTCACTCCACCTCTGGGCTCACTATCTTTCACAACTAGACCCGCACCTCACCAACTGGTTCCCCGGCCCAGCTGGTGCCTACCTTTCCGATTCTGCACACGTGTGCCCACAGTTCAGTGGGGAAAGAAGCACTGAACAGAGTAATTCAATACAGTAGGAAGGTGGTTTGGTAGAGGAATGCCAGCTCACAAGATTAGCTCTGTTACCTTTTCTGAGCTTGCCAATGTCTGAAGCCAGTTACTACTTGATTACCCAGTGCAAGCCCTTGGATACACCTCTAATATTTGCCCCAGATATTCATCCTCCTCCACTTGCTTTTTCATCCACTGGGCCCCTGAACTTTAGGGTATGTGTGCAAGAGCCCTAGAGAGAGCTGGTCCCAAAGGTGGATGGGATAGTAAAGTTGTCAGTACTCAGACTTTACCTAACCCGTATTCCTCCTTATTTCTAGAACTATCCACCCCATTAGATCTTCTTCCTACCCCTCATCTCTGGCTTCTATAGGTGGAGTTTGTCTTGTTTTGGAATCAATGGCTTTCTATCCCCTACCAGGTTCTAAGCCATGGCAAAGAGACAAGGGGGCTCTTCTGACTTCACTGTGAAGAGAGGAACTCAAATCGTAAGACGCCAGACCCCTGAGAGTCTTTCTGGCTGGTTTGAGCCTCTCGAATCATGGACGCGGGCTAGAGGAAGAAAGTGGTGTAACTAACCTGAACTAGGAAACTAGGACCTTGAGCTGGAAACAAAATATTGAGCATGGGGTAGATTAGAGAAGAACCAGCACCTAAGAAGCTGCCCTGTGACACTTGGGCCTTACCTTTCTCAGCCAAGTCTCCTGCCCTCACAAGGAAAGGAGAGGGACTCACAGCCACGTGTCATAGATAGTGCCCTGGTCCTTCACTGCCTTGCTCCATGACCTCTGCCTTCCTGGTCTCACCCAGTTCCTTTCCCTTCTGCCTCCTGCTGCTTCTGTAGTTGCAGACCTCAGGCTCCCAGGCCCTATGGCAGGCTCTCAGCTCAGCTACTCCCCCACTTGAATAAACATCTGTTCCTCTATGGTAATGTGCTTCTTTGGTCTTCCCTGGTGCCTGTCAGAGGCTGAATGATCTCTGCCCTATTCCCTTCAAAAAGGAAATGTGAATGTGGACCCTTCCCCAGGCTGACCCATTAGGCCAGGGTCAATATAATTGAGTATATTGACAGGGTCAGTATAATTGGAGCAATGGCTTTCAAACTCCTTTGAACATAATTCAAAGCAGGAAATATGAAATATATTTTATATTATACTCAGTAAACACATACAATTAAAGCAAAACAACATTTCCCTATATTGAAAGCTATGTTTTTCATCCTATAGTATTCATTTTCATTTATTCAAAAAAATGCTGATTGCAACCTACAATTTGAAAGACACTGATTTAAAGCACACAGAATTAAGAGCAGAAGGGATATAAATGGCCAAGACATAATTCTGATTATGGTCTGGATCATAAACCTGCACCAGATTTTAAATGTCTATTGTCTGAGAGAATAAGGTGTTTGGGGGAAATGAGTGGGTGGGAAATGGAGCAAGGCCTATGAAGCTGCACAATACATGAAGAATATGGCAAAATGACAGTGCTGGCCCAGTTTCTTCAGAAAATAGAGTAAAATCGTCTCAGGATTGCTGGGGACACAGAAAAATGAGACTGTAAAACATCCTGAAAGACCCCTCAGAAAAACCCCAAATAAACAGTCTCCCATTCCTGTAATAATCACTCCAGTCAATGACCTGGAGTTGTGACGTGGGAGATGGAGCTTGGGGTTGGGGAGAACCCCTACCTCACCACTCCACTGGTGCCAAAGCCTAATTCCTTTCGAGTGTTGGGGCCTCAGGCAAGTCTCTTTTCCATACAACAAGAGTGGGTTAGCTCTGGGGAGGGGGCAGTCCCTGGTGGTGTGGAATAAGGCCAGGGTGCTACAGCCCTGCTGATGTGGTGGGTGAGATACACAAGCAAATGCACAGAGGGTCAATTAGTCTCTTCTTTCACCAAGAAGACATGAGATCTATAGTTCACAGTCACCCTAGGGCTGCTGCCATCTGTCCATGCACCTCTGTAATGTGTGTTCCTTGTCCTGCCAATACTATGGATACCTTGGGGGTAGGGAGGTTCAGGAGGATCCTTCCTCAGCTAAGGGGGAAAGTCCAGCTAGGTGGGATCCTGGAGGCTTGCAGGAGCACACTGTGGTGGCTGGTCAGGATGGTAGAGGGTTTGGTGAACCAGGGTGCGGACTGCTGGGAGGTCATCAGGATCTGAGGGCAAGAAAGGGGCTGGTAAGAGGCTGTGGCTTTCCTAGGCCCCCGCTTGTCCAGCGCCGCAGGTGCTGGGCCTCACCTATGCCCAGCTCCTGCAGCAAGCTCTGGTACTCTGGCTCAGCCTCCAGCAACTTCAGCAGATTGGTAGACTCCATCCGCTCGAGCTGTACCTCCCAGTACACATAGATCTTCTGGTTGAAGGTGACATACACAAGGCAGGGGCTGTTACGGCCCTCTTTGCAGGCATACAGGCCTGTGAGGTGTGGGCAGTGAGACAAAGGTCAAGAACCTTCATCCAGTGGTGGGAGGTGAGGATAAGATAGGGGCTCTAGAGTCGGCGGTTCTGGTCCTCCCACAGATGTCAAGCAGAAAGCTAATGGCTCTCTTTCTAGGTCTACTCTGTTGGAAACTCAGTAAAATAATAAACAACTTGGCCCATTCCAGATACAGAAAAACCACAGAAACAAAACTCAGGCAGAAGAGCATCCAAAAACGTGATGCTTTATGTTGTCATCACAGTGATGGCCCTGGAGTAATGACAAGTCTTGCTAGTAAAGGGGTAGATCAGAAACTGAGGCTTCTCTGAGGGCAGCCCCTCTGCAAAGGCACACTGACCTCTCAGGTCACTGGGGAATGTGGGCGAGAACACTGTTCAATTCTTTTCATCTCAGTGACCACAGATATCTCCATGTCACCCCAAAGAGTGGGCGCTGGCTTCCAAGGTCCCGATTTGGAACTAATGGGAACACTCTAGGACAGCAATTTTCGATCGGTGTGCTGTGGCTGGCACACTAGTGTGCAACAAGAATTTTTAAAATGTGCAATTCATTTAGTCAGGGGCACTGACCTCTTTTTCCTTAAGACTGTCAAATTAAAAAAAAATGACAACAGCCAACATAACAACAGCCATCCAGTATGAATGAATCAAAATTATACCTATTTTTTGTTAGATCGGTAAAGATCTATTTTTTGGTGTGCCACAGAATTTTAGTAATTAGCTTATGTGTGCCATGAGATGAAAAAGGTTGAAAATCGCTGCTCTAGGAGAATATCCTTCACAGAGTTCCAATATACTCAGACAGGAAAGAGCTTTCTGATGTCTTTACACAAACAGATGATAAGATCTCATCCCATTCTTTGAGATATTCAGAAATGAGAATCTCACTTTCTTTTATTTTTCCTTATTTAAAACTGTAAAGATGGCAATTTAGTACCCACTCATCACCCTCTAATGAAAGACTTAAGAAAGCATCTGTCTATGCAGACTCCCGCAAGGGGACACGCTGAGGATGACAGCAGGAGGCAGGCGAGTATGGTCAGTGGGGGCCGGGGGCAGGGGCCCACCTGCACAGAAGGCTCGGACGTTCTCATCCACTTGGAAGCGGACAACCGTGCGGTTGTGATCGATGATATATGTCTGTCCGTCCCAGGCACAGGCAACAACCTCCTCGTGCCCATTGCCCTGAAAAAGGTCCAAGACAAGACTGCAGGGGTGGCCAGGAACTATTTTAAAAAGGGATCTAGCGATGGAGCTGGATGAAATACAAAGAAGCTGTAGACTTTGCTCTGGGACCAACAGCCGGCTGAGAAAGAAAACCACCATACGTCTCTTGTTGCACTTCTCCCATGTGCCAGGCACCAAAGGGGCTACTGTCCAATGAGCCACCTCACATAGTACTCACAAGGACCCTGTGAAGTAGGCAGTATTATTCCCAATTTGATACTGAGGGAACTTCAGCTTGTAGAAATAAAATCATGCACCCAAGGTCACTCAGCTGGGAGATGGTGGAATCGGGCTTCCAGCCCAGGCCTGGCCTGCCTGACCTCACAGCCTCCTGCCTCCTCTCCCACGTCGTTGAGCATGTGTAACGGCAGCACAAAGGCAGCCCCCATCTGCAGACTCAGGGGCCACAGCCTCAGTAAAGACAGACTCACATGGGACAAGGAAAAAACTTCATATGCATCTGGAGTTGGGACTGATGGCAAACTTCTGGACCCTAGTAATTACTTGGTTCTCTTTGGAGCTTCTTCTGTGGCTGAATGGTACTGATGTGTGAGGTTCCCCAGAGCACAAATAGTGCTAAGCACTGTGTAACAGGGGAACAACTCATTTCAAAGGGAGTTAGACCTGGCTAAAGAGGACCTTAAGATAAAAGTTCAGAGTTAACTATGAGGTGATAATGGCTTCACTGAAACCTTGTATATCCATGTAAAGAAGGTAAGAATGTTCTTCTCCACCAGGTTTTCTACCCACCGTGACATCCAGTTTCTCTAGGGCGAAAAGCTGGTGATCCACCTGCACGGACCACAACAGCTTGTCTGCTTCTTCCATAAGCTTCAGTGTTCCTGCAGGGGGAGAGGCAGGCTGCAATGGGGAGAACAGGACCCCTAAGCAGACCCCCCCAGGCACACAACCTCCCACCCCAGCAGGGGCCTGTAGCTGGCCCGGGAACTCACCATCCAAGGTGCAGAGGGCAAAGAGGCCAGAGCCACCACTCTCAGAGGTGTGGCCTGTGGGTGGGACAGAAGGACCAGAAGAAGAAAATATGAAGGTCAAGGCAAGATCAGAGCATATGGGGTGAGGGATGGCCAAGGGCAGGGAGGGAGGGAGGGACAGGACTAGAAATGAGAGAAGGTCCCACATCTCCTGTCCCAAAAGTAATGTTTGGCCTCAGCAACCTGCCGCATCCTGCTGCCCCCTCACCTCGTTTGATGTTGCCAATGAGGTGGGTAGAGACATTCTTGTTGTGGATGCGGCCGGATGTCTGGTGCAGCACAACATCTCGGGCAGCTGGGGTCTCCCTGCGGGCAGAAGAGTGGGGACTAAGTGAACTTAGTTCTCTGGCACATTTGTGGCCCTATCTCTGTAAGAGCTGCTGAGATGTGAATCAGCTAGAAACCTATAGCTGACCCTTGTGGCCTGTGTGGAAAGAGAGGGACAGAGCTACCAGGCTAGAATCTTATAACCTCTTCGGGATGCTACAAGGTTAGAGCCAGGACTCCCTGGGTCCCAAAATATAGGTCTTCCCTTACTAGGGCAGAGGTACTTGTGCTGAAGCTAGCTGAAACAGCTCTGTCAACTGCAGACCCATCCACTGCCATGTACATCCAGGACCCCATCTTGCTCCCATGTACCCCACATCATCCACAGGCCTGCACCCCTTACCTACTGCTTTCTGAGGTCCCCTCAGAGGTAGCAGAGTGCTCAGTGTCCTTGTTCCAGGTACACAGTAGAACTGCATAAGCACAGCCTGGCTGAGATACCATCAGCTCAGGAACACCCAGTGATCCTGGAGTCACCGAGAGACTGTCCACCTGCACCAGGGAACAGAAGCTTAAAGGGGGCTGGAGAGAGAGGAAGTGGGACTCTGCAAAGAACAGGGTAGAGAATTGGAGTAGGGGCCCTGGAGGCAATCCCCCAGGCTTCGAGGAATCCTAGAGTTCACAGGGCTCCTGCCCAGTGCCATCCTCTCCAACTACACCATCTGCTTTCCTCTGCGGGGTCCAGATCCTGACACAGACATCACACCCACCTTCACATTCCCAATTCCTAGCTCTTGGTTCCCTCCTATTTGCCATGACTAGCAACTTCCCCTAAGACTGATTTGAAATGATCTTTAGATCTCTCTCCCACCCTGTATCATGGCCCACAACTGTTCTCCCACAACCCTCCTTCAGGAGGCATTCCTCCCTGCTCTCTGAGCTCCAGGGTCCTTCTACTCAGCTTCTCACCTGACCTTCCAGCGTCCATTTCTGGAGTGACACCAGCTGCCCCGTCAGATGTTCAGTGCCCTCGCCCAGATCCTCCCAGCGGAAAGCCCGTACCACACGGTCTGTGTACCCTACCACCAGCTCACAGCACCCATCTCCATCTGTGGTCCAGAAAATAAGACAAGTTTGAAGCCAAAGCTGTATTCGTCAGCTTGA